TCCCTCCCTCCCCCATCCCGAAGGCACACCGGCGAGACACTCACCTGCCAAGAGCGGGCCTGTGTGGACCAGCTGATACGTCAGAGGACCGCAGGGCGGGCGGTGTGCCAGACCATGCCTAGCGCCCAGTGCTGTGGCCCAGGCTCCTTATAAGGCCTCCACCATATGGTCCTGATGGTGCTCCCCCTCCCTGCTCCCCGCTGCTGCTCACTCAGGTGGCATGTTTTTCCACAGGGCTGGGGCTGCTGGAGGGACATGTGTGGCGGGGTCATCACTGGATCAGTGTGTGTGTGTGTCTTTATGGGTGCTTACAGTATGTGTGTGTTTGTGGGTAGTTTTATAGGGATGAAGGGGGAAACAGCTGAGCATCCCTCTTTCCCCATCCGCTACCCCCCTACCAGTGGCCAGGCAGCCCCTCCCTTTCACATCTGTTGTGGTCAGGTAGAATCTACATCAAAGCCCTCAGTGTTCAGAGCCATAGCTTCTCTCAACCATAGATTGAAGAGGGTAGTTGTATTGGTATTGTTTGATTACCTCTTTAAAAGCTCCTATGTTTGGACCTTTGCCCTGTCTGTATGATATCCTAATGTCTCCTAGGACATGAGGCCTCCCTGCTCCCCTCACCCCCATCCTCAGCATGACCAATGGTTCCCCCAGGACTCATCCTGTAATACAGTTAAACAGATGTTTAATGAAGATGTTATTTGCTCATTACTGGCAGTGGGATGGGGATAGAGGGGGTGGGGGGTAGATAGACAGCATAACAAAGTACCAGTTTAATATTCCTCTCGCCTGTGGCCCTGAGATTGTGTCTGCCTCGGACGTCAATATTACATCCCTCACCCACCACAGGCAGTCTTAATAAGGCACCAGGCTAGTAGACGGATCAGACTCGGCAATTACAATTCAGCCAGAATTAGTTAATGGAATCTATAGAGCAACATGTATATATCAGTGGTGGCTGCCTAATGACTTTGTTGGAATAGCTGCAGCAGCAGTATAAAAATGGCTTTCTGTAATAAGCACAGGATTTCTGTCATTTGTTTTTTTCTGTTTTGTGTAATTTTTGTGTGTTGGGCTGGAGATTAAGATGGCATTCTGGGAGAAATTGTCATGTCAGTGGCTGCATTGTTTGAACGGGATTGTGGTGATTAATTTTGCATGCGTTCAGGCAGGCGGGTGCTCTCCTGGAGGAGGGCTGTCTGAGGCACGCTCCACTCTCTAGTCCTTCTGTACCCCTCCTCTTCTCTCTTATCTGCTGCTGTGGTTGCTGCCTCTGCCTGATTGGAGAGTTTAAACAGGAATGTGTGCACATTTAGGAAGGTTTGTTTGCTAGCTACTGGAAGGCTAGGTATTATGAATGCATTTTTATAATGATATGTAGCACCCATAATATCATGTTTATGATCTACTTAAACATGTGTAATGAATGCTTTATAGTAGATAGTTAAATTGTTACCCCTATTTTACCTAGCTTGGCCCAAAAACAGGGTTGCATGTCTTTCCCAAATGTGATACAACAGAGCACTTAGCCAGAAACACTGTCATATTATCTAAACATCCTCAGTGTTCAGCCCACTGTCCTGTCCTGGCCACAGCTAAACCCTGGGGTGTCAGTGTTACTGAGCCAAGGCCAGCTGGAACCTTCTGTCACGCCAGTTCATGGGCTTCATCCTAGCCTCTTCAGGAATGTGTGATTCTTTTCCAGCCATGTCTCTCCCAAAGCACCACTCTCTGGGTGATAGAACAGTGGAGGGCTGATCTGCGATGGCACAGCTGTGGCATTATGTGGTCCCTAGGGTGGTGTGTGACAGTCCATCCCCTGGCCTGGCCCTTTGTGTTGCCTCATTCTCTACACATTCACTACAGACAGGCTGCTGGTGGCCCTTTGTGTAGCGTTATTGAGGCCAGCCCAGGCAAGCGCAAGGCAGGAAGGCGTTTGGTGCTGGGCTGCAGTGCAGTGCTGGCAAGCCTCTGGCCCATGTTTAGGAACTGAGGGGGTAAATGAGGCAGGTTCTGCTTTGACTCTTCAAAGTGACAGTGGCAAGCTATTTGTGTCCTACTGTCTGTCCATGTAGAGGACACTGGGAACTATATCTGGTTGTATATTGGTTTGAGGACAGGGATTGTGGTTCTGAGTTTTTATGGGTATTTGTGTTTACCTTGAATTAATTTTTTATTCTTCTGGTTACTGACCTACCATTTATACTCTTTTTATGATATTTCTAATTTAGAGTGAATTATTGTATGATTTTGGTAGATGTATTTTACTTCAATAAGAGCTGGATGATTATTGTTCAATTTTCCAGGATTCTTTCCTCTTAATAAAATGTATTTCCACTTCTTAAATGTTTTGTATGTTTCTTTAGCAGGGCAATGATCTCCCAATATCTTCATGAAATACATATAATTTTTTTTTACAGCATTTCTGTTTAGAATTCCTTTGTCATCCAGGTAATTACCCCAGTGATGAGACTGAAACATTCTGGCACACTGGATCAGTTCAGGGTAAAATATCCTCACTGAGAACATATTATTCTCTTGCCATGTCTCAACCAGACAGTTATTGTCAGTGAGCCACAACATTACAGCACAGCAGCATCCTGCAGCACATTGTGCTTTGATAACAGGAAACATGGCCACAATGGAGTCAGAGTCCCTTCCTCTTCATCTCCCTACCATGGGAGCAGCCAGCCCCAGACTTAGCCCAGAGAATGAGCCATGGAGAGGCTAAGAGACTGACTGGGACCCAGGAGGTCCTCTGCAGACAGACAGGTCATTTAAACCTGAGAGTACACACATCACTGGGTTCTTACACACTGACAGGACCTAGGAGAGAGATGTGTCAGCCTCTCAGAAGGAATAAAGGACCAGGGGACAGGAGTGTGGTTGTGTGTATGTGGGAGTGGGAGTGTGCTTGTCAGGCAGGTCTGTAAAAGCCAAAGCGAGCCTGGTGTAATATCCCCATTACTTCCAGGGACCCCCACTACTGCGCAGCACCCTGCTCTACCTCAAAACCAGCCCCCCTGCTAAGCGTGTGGGCTGGGGTTAATTGCCGCGCAGAGGGGGTAGAATTGAGGGTGCGGGGGGTCCCTGCACCTCAACAAAAGTCCCCATCTGCCCCCCACCCCTTCTTCCTACCCTTCAAGTTACAACTAATTCCAGGAGCAGTGCAGTGAGAAAGACGCTGCTATCTCTTACTAAGACTGGACCCAGACACCCCTTCAACACCCCCCACTACAATCCTGCATCACATAGAACACAGAGCAAAAAGACTGGAGGAAAGGAGAGGGAAAAAAGGAGATGTAGTCAGCAAGCAAGATTTATTTTTTCTTACTCTCCTCTCCCTCTCCTTTTTTCCTGATTTACCGCGTTTTCCTCAGAAAGCTCCATTGTTCCCCTAGCCTAAGTCTCATCAGGCCTTTTGTGGCTGACTATCACAGCGGCAGGGAGAGAGCTGGAAATGTATAAATGGTATCATGCCTTGTGATTAATGGCGGTGCTTATGAGTCAGGTCTGATAACGGGCCTGCTCTCTACTCAATTTCAGATACCGTTAATGGAATCTGTCTTCTGCGATTGTAATGTGAGAGCGCCTAATTTGCTATGGAGCTTGAAGCTGTCACCGGCAAGGGATTGTGGGGTCATAAGGGACCTGGCAGCCGTTTGGCCTGCAGCTTGTATCTGCCGTGCTGAATAGAGCAGCTCTCTGCCTGTCAGTTAGCTGATAGGCTGATGAGGACTCTAAGCCACTCTACACAATGGTGGAAAGGGCCATACTGCCTGACTTTCTTAATTGTGGAGCCCGCTCATATTTCAGAGCCAGCGTGCCGGGGACTGGTCTGCTTTCTTCTTCCTCTTCCCCCCCCCCCCCCCCCTTTCTCCTCCTCAACTATTTTCCTCAGTTTCCTTCATTTCATCCTCACATACTCTCACCCCCCAGTCACACATCTCTTTACTATTTTTATTTTCTTCCCCTTCTCCTCCTCCTCATCATTTGTCATCTCTCTCCCTCTTCCTCTGTCTCTCTTTCTAGTAAGTGGTGGGTCTTAGTATATGACGGATTATCCCAACTTTGCTTCAGTTACCTCTAAAGAGATGGAGGCAGGAGAGGAAGAAGGGGGAAACTTTTGTGCATACATTATTGAAGTAAAGGACGATATCTCCCATAGTGGTTATCTATGGCAAGCTGCTCTGGTGCTGCTGGAGAGGAAGGTTGAAGGATAGGTATGGGAATGGTCAAGATTTTAGATAGTACATATAGCTACACAAATATACTATTTATTACAATGACAGGTACTCCATAATTAACAAAAATGTGCAAATGATTTTTTGAGCAATCATATGCGTCGATCCTAAATATGATTTTCAGATCTAGCTTTGGGATAATTACTCATGCCCACATTGCCCGGAGCTGCTCATACCTATGATTGGACAGTTACTCTACAATAAAAAAATAAAATTTTTTATTGAGCAGTTAAATTTGTGTGTTAACCCCCGTGCCTCACCCCTCTTCCCTCTACTCTAGACTGGCAGGCCCAGGGCCGGGTGCGGTGCTGGCTGGGGGGGTGTTTGCTGTGTCCAGGCTCAGCTGGCAGTGGTCGGTGGTGGCCGAGGTCTTCTCCCTCAACAACCTCTTTGTTGGGCTCCTCTTCTCCCTGACTACCAGCTTCCACTGTGCTGACAGTGCCCCCCAGAGGAGGAAGGTAACCCAGCCCCCGACACACACTCCCTCCACAACTTCCACCCTCACACGGGACAGAACATGCATATCAGCCACATCTCCCAGACCAGATAGACTGGTCCATGGGGATATCACAACTGCGTGCCTCAGGAAACTATACTGTACAACCTATAGAAATATGGTGTTAATTTACAGATTTCATATTTCATCATTTGATTAGTATATTTTTTCAATGACAGAAACGCAGTCTATAATATGATGAATTAAGTCTCCTCTTGTTGTTGTCAGGTTGCCCATTGGGGGGCGCTGTGCTGTGGCCTGGGTCTGTGTAACCAGCACACTCTGGTGTTATATGTGGTGGTCATCATTCCCTGGGTCCTGCTTCAGCTCTACTCTCACAGAGTAAGTTTAACAACACACCACTCTTCTCCATCTGAGTGGCCATAGAGACAAGGTAGAAGAACTAGCCTATCTGTAAGAATGCTGAATAGCTGTTATTGTGTGATTGTGTCAGGAGCTGTCTGTGTGTGGGCTGATGTCTCTGGGACTGTGTTTCCTGGGGGGTTTCCTGCCCTACGTCTACCTGCCTATCTCCTCCTACCTGAACACAGCTCGCTGGAGCTGGGGAGACCAGACTTCCCTCTCAGGCCTCCTTACTCACCTACTGAGGACTGAGTACGGCACCTTCAGCCTGGTACATACTTCTATACATTTAAAAGTACCAACGTACATAATCTATGAGCTTTACCACAAACTCTAGTGTGGGACGTATGGTTGTGATTGATGTGGTTGTTTCTTTCATATGTGACCCTAGGCCAAGATAGAAGGTACCGGGAACCTCAGCATGATGCTACAGTGAGTATGCCCATCTTTATTAGGATATTAATTCACTTTATTTTACAGATGAAGTCATTGCTATAGCATGAATTGTTCTGGTGTCTTGCTTTTAAATGTTGTACATTTGAAGGTCATTCATTGGATAATGTGATCTGTAGAAGAGACAGAGTGGGTTTTGTCATGGTTTTGGCTCTAGACAGACAGGTTTAAACATCACACAAAAACCCATCAGTTCTGTTCTGAAGGAGGGAGGCCATCCATCGCCAGTACTGGAGCCCGTCTCTCCCTCCTCACTCCCAAGCTTTTGTTCTTCCCGTTCCCCTCTCGCCCATCAAAGCAGAACTGAACCTGCTTAGAGGGCCAAATCTCTGTGTTCTGTTTCTCCAGCAGTTTGAAATGATCACTCTGCTCTGGTGTTTAAGCGTGACAAGCTGTGATGACAGACACTGCAATATAGCTGGATAGATTTGTTTTCCTCCAACAACCCCCCCCCCCCCCCCCCCTTCCGTCATCCAACTTCTGTAATTTTCTATGGCTGACGACGGGTGGGGAGTATGCGTCTTAAGACCCCCCACCACCAGTACCCCGCCTGGCCCTCGCCCCCTTCCATCACCCCCGCTGGTTGATCGACAAGCACACCTTCAAGACAAGGGAGAGAGGCAAGCATGTCACATCGGGGATGTAAACTCCGCTAGAGAAGCTGACACAGTCTCACACACGTATGCACACACACACACACACACACACACACAGTCTCTCTCTCTCTCTCTCTCTCTCTCTCTCTCTCTCTCTCTCTCTCTCTCTCTCTCTCTTTCTCTCCTCAATATAGAGACTCAATAAGCCGTCAAACAGAGATGGGTATTAAAGAAGATGCTCTGTGACTGACAGGCACTCTGACGGGGGTTGGTTAGAGGACACATTCATTGGTCTCTGTTAATCGGACGGAAGGGTGGGGACTGGGGGTGCATACAGTGAACAGAGTTGGTCTGTTTGATCGGGGAGGGGCACAGTTACTGGTGTATTCCAATCTGATGAAGGGGAAATGAGAGGACATTCAGTAATTGGTGTCCTTCAGTTTGATGGAGGTTAGAGGGATGCAGTCATCAGAGGTTTTTGGTGTGTGTGTGTGTGTGTCAGGGCTCAGCTGGACCACTGTATGGCTGACCTGTCCCTCCCTGTGCTGGTCCTGGCTGGACTGGGCCTGTTCCTCTTCTCCTGGGACAGGTAAGGAAACACCTGGCAGACCAACCTTGCCTCAGGGCAATTATTAGCATTTGGGATGTACATTTGAATCCCTCCATTTAGATATGTTACATTACATTACATTATGCATGGAATAGTCGTCGTACAATATCATATTAAGTTGGTAACCAGTTTATAATAGCAATAAGGCACCTCAGGGGTTTGTGGTAAATGGCCAATAAACCAGGGCTAAGGGCTATATTCAGGCACTCCGCGTTGAGTCGTGCCTAAGAACAGCCCTTAGCCGTGGTATATTGGCAATATACCACAACCCCTCGGGCCTTATTGCTTAATTAACACTCAGAAAGAAAACCCCTGCAAAGTGCACTGATCTCAACATGAGGCTAAAAGCTGTCGTGCTGTCAAGGCGCTGTACAATCAAAAGAAGAAAGGGAGATTTTGATGTGTGTGTGTTTTTTGTATGTCTACTAGTTGTAGTGATGTGTATGTGAATGTATGTATCTGTATGTTGCAGTGCTCTCTGATGCAGTAATTCATTACAGTAGTGGCTATGCTGGGGTCTGTTGGGTGCCGCTGATAAGGCAGAGCAGAGCCAGGGAAACCCATGAGCAGGGCTGTCCCCAGGGCACTGCCCACCCTCTGCCTCGTCCTGGCCACCTCCTGCCCACCTCTGCCTCGTCCTGGCCATCCCCTGCCCACCTCTGCCTCGTCCTGGCCACCTCCTGCCCACCCTCTGCCTCGTCCTGGCCACCTCCTGCCCACCTCTGCCTCGTCCTGGCCACCCCCTGCCAACCTCTGCCTCGTCCTGGCCACCTCCTGCCCACCTCTGCCTCATCCTGGCCACCCCCTGCCCACCTCTGCCTCGTCCTGGCTGCCCACCTCTGCCTCGTCCTGGTCACCCCCTGCCCACCTCTGCCTCGTCCTGGCCACCCCCTGCCCACCTCTGCCTCGTCCTGGCCACCCCCTGCCCACCTCTGCCTCATCCTGGCTGCCCACCTCTGCCTCGTCCTGGCCACCCCCTGCCCACCTCTGCCTCGTCCTGGCTGCCCACCTCTGCCTCGTCCTGGCCACCCCCTGCCTTCCCACCCTCTGCCTCCCCCTGCCTCCCTCTGCCCCCCCCCTGCCTCCCACTGCCTATGCAATTTTTTCCAATTCTCATTTTCATTCACATAATTATTATGTTTTGATTACCACTAGGGGATAGTGTTTTTTCGTTATTTTATAAAACCTTTTACAACCATCCTCTGTGCTGTAATGGTGATGTGAGGCAGAGTTCTTGGCCCCGTCACACAGTGACTCACATGCTGTCATCCAGACCCAGCATTAGGAAAGCAATCATGCTGTGGGCTATAGAACGTGTTAGCTGTGATAGTGAGTCTGTCTACAGGCGGTGTGATGTTATCTCTCCTGTACCTTGATGAATTTGGGTGTGAATTGCACTGGATGTATTTTCATGTACTTGTTGGGAGGGTGAAAATAAATGTGATATTGAGAGAGTAATAAACTCAGCAAAAAAATAAACATCCTCTCACTGTCAACTGCGTTTATTTTCAGCAAACTTAACATGTGTAAATATTTGTATGATAACAAGAAATGGAATAATGTGTCCCTGAACAAAGGGGGGATCAAAATCAAAGGTAACAGTCAGTGTCTGGTGTGGCCACCAGCTGCATTAAGTATTGCAGTGCATCTCCTCCTCACGGACTGCACCAGATTTGCCAGTTCTTGCTGTGAGATGTTACCCCACTCTTCCACCAAGGCACCTGCAAGTTCCCGGACATTTCTGGGGGGAATGGCCCTAGCCCTCACCCTCCGATCCAACAAGTCCCGGACGTGCTCAATGGGATTGAGATCCGGGCTCTTCACTGGTCATGGCAGAACACTGACATTCCTGTCTTGCAGGAAATCACGCACAGAATGAGCAATATGGCTGGTGGCATTGTCATGCTGGAGGGTCATTTTAGGATGAGCCTGCAGGAAGGGTACCACATGAGGGAGGAGGATGTCTTCCCTGTAACACACAGCGTTGAGATTGCCTGCAATGACAACAAGCTCAGTCCCATGATGCTGTGACACACCTCCCCAGACCATGACGGACCCTCCACCTCCAAATCGATCCCGCTCCAGAGTACAGGCCTCGGTGTAACGCTCATTCGACGATAAATGCGAATCCGACCATCACCCCTGGTGAGATAAAACCGCGACTCGTCAGTGAAGAGCACATTTTGCCAGTCCTGTCTCGTCCAGCGACGGTGGGTTTGTGCCCATAGGCGACGTTGTTGCCGGTGATGTCTGGTGAGGACCTGCCTTACAACAGGCCTACAAGCCCTCAGTCCAGCCTCTCTCAGCCTATTGCGGACAGTCTGAGCACTGATGGAGGGATTGTGCGTTCTTGGTGTAACTCGGGCAGTTGTTGTTGCCATCCTGTACCTGTCCCGCAGGTGTGATGTTCGGATGTACCAATCCTATGCAGGTGTTGTTACACGTGGTCTGCCACTGCAAGGACGATCAGCAGTCCGTCCTGTCTCCCTGTAGCGCTGTCTTAGGCTTCTCACAGTACGGACATTGCAATCTGCAGTCCTCATGCCTCCTTGCAGCATGCCTAAGGCACGTTCACGCAGATGAGCAGGGACCCTGGGCATCTTTCTTTTGGTGTTTTTCAGAGTCAGTAGAAAGGCCTCTTTTAGTGTCCTAAGTTTTCATAACTGTGCCCTTAATTGCCTACCGTCTGTAAGCTGTTAGTGTCTTAACGACCGTTCCACAGGTGCATGTTCATTAATTGTTTATGGTTCATTGAACAAGCATGGGAAACAGCGTTTAAACCCTTTACAATGAAGATCTGTGAAGTTATTTGGATTTTTACGAATTATCTTTGAAAGACAGGGTCCTGAAAAAGGGACGTTTCTTTTTTTGCTGAGTTTATATATGGTATTTCTGTGTATATGTCTGTGTAAGGCCAGTGCTCTCATGGCGATGCCTGTCCTTCCTCTCCAGGAGGCGCTGTGTTGTTCCCTGGCTGCTGACAGCCATGCTGCTACTCTACTCCCTGTTCTTCGCCTGGAGAGCCAACCTGGACATCAGCAGACCCCTACTGCTGGGAGTGGTGAGTGGTGAGCCATGAGGCTTGGTTAGGGCAGGCAGGGAAACATGCAGGGAGGCTACAGGATGGGCCTGAGTTGGGATGCCACAGTCTCCTCTGCCCCAGGTAAAAGGCTGTGTCGTGTGTTTGGTCTCTCTGCAGGTGGAGCGGTTCTGGCTCCAGAGCGATGCTGTGGTGTGTGTGCTGGCTGGGTTGGGCCTGAGTTGGACACACACAGGCCTGGAGAGGAGGCTAGGCCATGGGGGTCTGTGGCGGGCCGGAGGCTGGCTCTTCACTGTAGGTCTCCTGGCACACATGGTGCACTCCAACCATCGGTAAGCATCATATCCAGTCAACTGACTTAGGCTTGATGGCACATCCTGTGTGTGGTGTTATAACACTGTAGTATTTTTACCACCAACTGATTTCAAGGTTTGCCGGACAAACTAGAAAATAAATGTTGTCTTGGAGATAGAGGGTCGCACACAAAATGTCTTGAGTATTTTACTCCCAAAACTCACTCCACACTAGTCTCACCTGAGCTAACCAAATAGTTCTCACTGTACTTCAAACTGGAGCCCTGCACTCCACATGCCAGGTATTTCATTATCCCGTCTCTCCTCCCCCCATGGTAGGGGCTAAAGAGAGGCACGGTTAGCACATAGATTTCACTGTGAATGCTGAGTGTGAGATGTTAACCATGAGAGGCAGCAGATTACACCAGCGTGGTGCTGCACTCTGCCAGGCAGGCTGAGGCCGCCATCACACAGCTGCTTTGATCAGGGGGAGAGCCTGGCATACGCTGTCAGACCCATCGCACCTGTCTACCCACGATTAGAGAGGCAGAGCATGGGCTAGGGCTGTGACAACTTACCACAGAGCAACTTGAAAGCATGCATACAGTACATGAACACACACACACACACACAATCCTCAGAAGTGAAGACCTGCAAACACAACCTCACTCCTGTGTACACAAACACACACTTGTTATGTGTCAGTGTGGTTAGAGAAAATAGCTCCCGTTGACTTGTAAAGGTTTGTGTTGCATCCCTCCCAGGGAGTGTGATCAGAGCATTAACAGTGTTGTGGAGCGGTTCGGCAGGGAGCTTCTGGCCTCTGTTCCTCCAGACTCTATCATCCTTACCCGGGGAGACCTCCCAGGGAACTCACTACGCTACCTCCACTACTGCCAGGGGGTCCGGCCTGACGTACACCTCGTTGACCAGGAGGTTAGTGCTGAGCCTTATATTGGGCTTATTTAGGCCCAGGACAACATGACTAGCTTTATTATATTATAATTACAGCTTTATTATAATAGCATTTTAAATGGAACTGAATCTGATACTAAAGACAGGCCGTACATGTTAGACAATAGAGTTGCGATGATGATGATCTCAGTAAGGCTCCTATTGACTACTACTCTCTCCCCCTCCAGATGATGACGTACAGTTGGTACGTGGCCAAGCTGGGCCAGCATCACCCTAGGGTTAATTTCCCTGGCCGCTGGTGGGACCCGGTCCACACTGAGGAGAAGGACTCCTTCAGTCTGGAGCAGTTCCTCTCTCACAACACACAGTGAGTCTGTGAGTGAGTGAGTGAGTGAGTGAGTGAGTGAGTGAGTGAGTGAGTGAGTGAGTGAGTGAGTGAGTGAGTGAGTGAGTGAGTGAGAGAGAATACTGCAGAGATAAATACTGTGTCTATCTCTATGGAGAATGCATGGATGGAAAGAATGGACTAGTGAGAAATTGAGAAAATTAATCAAGAGGACTGAGAAAGTGTGAGGAATGGTAAGGTTGAATGGGAGCACTGAGTGGTTGATACAGTGATCGGTGCATGGAGGAGATAAGCCCAAAGACATAACTTCAGCCATCTGTGGGAAAGAATGCAGAGAAATACTGAATACATAATGAGTATATATAATTTACTGTGTGACTGCTGTATCCATCTGACTATAGTAGTCTGGGGATACAGAGAACAAATGGGTTGGACAGGAGTCCTTTAAATGCCAAACCCACCAGGGGGCAGTGTTTGCTTGGCCAACATGAACGTAACCAAGGAAGCAACACTGACCAGTGGGATCAACCCTTTAGGGGACAGCACTAGAGAGGAGAATGAAGCAGTAGGGATGGGAGATGGGAGAGAGCTGAATGGTGTGTGCACATGCTTGTGTGTGTTTGTTGGGTAAGAGGTGGAGGCATATGTGCTTCCCATGTATGCCTATTCAGTTCTATCAGCAGCCACCTGGGCGGAGAGTGAGTAGTGTTTGAGGGGAGATAGATAGCTGGGGGTAGGCCCTTTCAGGGGTTTCCAGCCCTGTGGTTCTGCTCTGCCCACTTCAGAAGCACGGTGCCTGCCTGGTTGTGTGTGTCTGCAGGGGGGCCGTACTGGCCTGCATCGGGCTGCCTGACGGGGACCCCAGCTGGGAGAGGAGCTTCTCTCGCTGGCCCCTAGGCGTGTGTGACCACCTGGTGCCTGCCCAGGAGCACTTCCACCCGGAGGAGTGGGCCCGCCGCACCCGCTACATCTACAACTGGACTGAGCCACACAACAGGTACACAGTACATTACACACATCCCAGAGGGCCCTCTGGAGGGGTGGGGGGGCCAGCTCAGCAGGAGAAGCCTACAGTCCATGGGGAGTCTAAGGGCTTCTGCTAGTCGCCATGGAAATGGTCATACTGTAGACCACATCAAACTCATTCCACGGAGGGCTGAGTGTCTGCAGGTTTTCCTTCCTCCCTTGTACTTGATTGATGAATTAATGTAACTGATTAGTAAGGAACTCCCCTCACCTGATTTTCTAGGTCTTAATTGAAAGGAAAAAACAAAAGAGGAATCTTCTGTTCAGTGATACTCTTTGGTGTTGACTATACCTTCTCTATGTGGTCTTTCACAATACTGGCTGAGAACCGACGTTCCTACGGCAAGGTTTCCTCTGTTCTCCCTGCTCTGATCCAGCAGCTCTTTCTGCGTTATACCAAAGCAAGACATTAGGCCTTCAGCTATTTGAAATGAGACTGAAGATTAAACATAATGAGTTTCTTATTGCGTTTTGTCAATAAGTGTGTCAAAAGTGGAATTAGTCAAAGCTCCATATTCTGTTGCTGTTGCCAGCAGCCCCTCATTCACTGCGATAATCATGGCTGAATACTGTGACATTATTTCCCTCGCCCTCACTACAAGCGTGTCCGTCGATGCCCGCAAGCCAAATATTAGCTCAGAACACTGCTAAAATAGGATTTTGAAGAAGAGGTCAAGTGTTTCTACGTAACAAAATGAAACAGGATATATGGTTCCTTCCATGGCTGATGTGTTGGTATTGTTGCTCTGCCGTCTGATGTTTTGACAGTACTATATACACTACCGTTCAAAAGTTTGGGGTCACTTAGAAATGTCCTTGTTTTCCGAAAGAAAAGCAATATTTATTTTCCATTAAAATAACATCAAATTGATCAGAAATACGGTGTAGACATTGTTAATGTTGTAAATGGCTATTGTAGCTGGAAACGGCTGATTTTAAATGGAATATCTACATAGGCGTACAGAGGCCCATTATCAGCAACCATCAGTCCTGTGTTCCAATGGCACGTTGTGTTTGCTAATCCAAGTTTATCATTTTAAAAGGCTAATTGATCATTAGAAAATGCTTTTGCAATTATGTTAGCACAGCTGAAAACTGTTGTGCTGATTAAAGAATCAATAAAACTGGCCTTCTTGAGACTAGTTGAGTATCTGGAACATCAGCAATTGTGGGTTTGATTACAGGCTCAAAATGGCCAGAAACAAATAGCTTTCTTCTGAAACTCGTCAGTCTATTCTTGTTCTGAGAAATGAAGGCTATTCCATGCGAGAAATTGCCAAGAAACTGAAGATCTCGTACAACGCTGTGTACTACTCCCTTCACAGAACAGTGCAAACTGGCTATAACCAGAATAGAAAGAGGAGTGGGAGGCCCCGGTGCACAACTGAGCAAGAGGACAAATACATTAGAGTGTCTAGTTTGAGAAACAGACGCCTCACATGTCCTCAACTGGCAGCTTCATTAAATAGTACCCGCAAAACACCAGTCTCAACGTCAAGAGGTGACTCCGTGAAGCTGACCTTCTAGGCAGAGTTGCAAAGAAAAAGCCATATCTCAGAATGCCCATCTTAATCTTTAATTTTTATTGGCCAGTCTGAGATATGGCTTTTTCTTTGCAACTCTGCCTAGAAGGTCAGCATCCCGGAGTCGCCTCTTCACTGTTGACGTTGAGACTGGTGTTTTGCGGGTACTATTTAATGAAGCTGCCAGTTGAGGACCTGTGAGGCGTGAAAGTTATTTGTTTCTGGCCATTTTGAGCCTGTAATCGAACCCACAATTGCTGATGCTCCAGATACTCAATTAGTCTCAAGAAGGCCAGTTTTATTGCTTCTTTAATCAGCACAACCGTTTTCAGCTGTGCTAACATAATTGCAAAAGGGTTTTCTAATGACCAATTAGGCTTTTTAAATGATCAACTTGGATTAGAAAACACAACGTGCCATTGGAACACAGGACTGATGGTTGCTGATAATGGGCCTCTGTATGCCTATGTAGATATTCCATAAAAAATCAGCCGTTTCCAGCTACAATAGCCATTTACAACATTAACAATGTCTGCACTGTATTTCTGATCAATTTGATGTTATTTTAATGGACAAACAAATTGCTTTTCTTTTCGAAAACAAGGACATTTCTAAGAGACCACAAACTTTTGAACGGTGTTGTATACTCACATTAGGTTTGTGAAAACCTAAACCTGCACACTTGGTTGAACAACATACACTGAACATAAATATAAACGCAACATGTAAAGTGTTGGTCCCATGTTTCATGAGCTGAAATAGAAGATCGCAGAACACCAAAAGCTTATTTCTCTCAAATTTTGTGCACAAATTTGTTTACATCCCTGTTAGTGAGCATTTCTCCTTTGCCAAGATAATTCATCCACCTGACAGGTGTGGCTTATCAAGAAGCTAATTAAACAGCATGATCATTACACAGGTGTACCTTGTGCTGGGGACAATAAAAGGCCACTCTAAAATGCACGCTTTGTCACACAACACAATGCCACAGATGTCTCAAGTTTTGAGGGAGCGTGCAATTGGCATGCTGACTGCAGGAATGTCCACCAGAGCTGTTTCTAGAGAATGTAATGTTAATTTCTCTACCATAAGCCACCTCCAACATCGTTTTAGAGAATTTGGCATTGCGTCCAACCGGCCTCACAAACGCAGACTACGTGTATGGCGTTGTGTGGGCGTGCGGTTTGCTGATGTCAGCGTTGTGAACAGAGTGCGCCATGTTGGCAGTGGGGTTATGGGTGGCATAAGCTACGGACAACGAACACAATTGCATTTTATCGATGGCAATTTGAATCTCACAGAGATACCGTGACGAGATCCTGAGGCCCATTGTCGTGCCATTCATCCGCCGCCATCACCTCATGTTTCAGCATGATAGGCTAATGCATGGCCCCATGTCGGAAGGATCTGTACACAATTCCTGGAAGCTGAAAAGGTCCCAGTTCTTCCATGGCCTGCATACTCACCAGACATGTCACCCATTGAGTATGTTTGGGATGCTCTGGATCGACGTGTACGACAGCATGTTCCAGTTCCCGTCAATATCCAGCAACTTCGCACAGCCATTGAAGAGGAGTCGGACAACATTCACAGGCCACAATCAACAGCCTGATCAACTCTATGCGAAGTAGAAGTGTTGTGCTTCATGAGGCAAATGGTGGTCACACCAGATACTGACTGATTTTCTGATCCACGCCCCTACCTTTTTTTAAAGGTATCTGTGACCAACAGATGCATATCTGTATTCCCAGTCATGTGAAATCCATAGATTAGGGCCTAATTAATTTATTTCAATTGACTGATTTCCTTATATGAACTGTAAAAATATTTTAAATTGTTGCATGTTGCGTTTATATTTTTGTTCAGTATATATTAACACCAATAATGATACATAATTAATATGATAGTGTGGGAGGAATGATGCATAAGAAAAGGCCCAGAGGTGTTGAGATAAAGAACTGTTTTTGTGTCTGGTTCCAGTTTCCACCCAGGGTCCTGGGAGAGGGTGGCTAATGAGGAGATGTGGCAGGCCAGGTACAGTAAAGAGTTAACATTGAAGACACTGACTCTTTTTTTCTCTGTTACAGTCACTGTATATGTATAGTTTACAGATAGAGCCTCTATGACAGATCACCCTAGTCTGCTAGCTAAAACATCTACATAACCCACTCTGGTGTGGTAGAGCACCAGCTATTCTACATGAAATACTGTTATGTAGCTAGCATCTACATAAATCACTCTATTCTGCTAGTGCATCTCTGCGGATAGATCTCCACGGTTCATCCATCCATCCATCCATCCATCCATCCATCCATCCAGCACTTAGCCTGTGATGTATCCTCTTTGTTTCAGGATGAAGACGGCTTTCTTTCTGTTTGACCTGGCTGAGAGGATCCAGGGAGAAGGGAAAGCACGCTTGTTTGAGCTCTCCTACACAGTGAGTCAGTCCTCCCATAGCAAACATATAGGAGTATGAGCATTAACCATAAGATTATGGTTGTTGTGTACAAGTTGTGTTCTTTGTGATTGGCAGCTGTATAAGGAGATTGTGGAGGCGCACACAGACTACCCTCCCAACTGGGATAAAAACCTGGCCCTGGCCAGCGAGAGGCTCCTGCGTTCAGGGAAGCAGGGCCACAGCCCTGACAGCCTTTTGACCTGCAGCATCCAGCACTTCAGCCTGTACCTGGACAAGGAGCCCACAGACTCCCAGGCCCCCGCCATCCGCACCGCCGTCTCCCACCTGCTGCAGGAGAGGACCAGGCTCCGGCAGAGACCCACCCCGTGAGGTATGGCAGGGTCAGATGGCGCAGGCACACAGGGAGTGGGCTTCAACTGATACTGCAGGACACCATGGAGACTCTCTGAGGAGGAGAGGTCCTCTCAACTCATTGTAGAAAGGAGGTTCCAGTGTGGCAGCCAGGGGATGTTGACTGGCCCCCAGGCTACATCTGGTGCTCTAGCCTCAGGGATTGAACACACCCAGTACAGTGGAGAGTAGACTGGGCTCTTTGAAGGTGTTTGGATACCTGCATTCATCATGGGAAAATGTATGTATGATGACCTGGACCATTCTGTGATGAATAAGGTGCATGAAAAACATCCCTTGTCAAAGACTTGGCTACAACATGGGACCTAATATGGAGGTGGTGCTGACGATGGGGCTCTTTGTGATGAGGTGGGGTTGTCCAGTCAAACAGGAATCTGGCTGCACCTCACACTGCGGGAATGTTTTCCACTGGGGACATTACATGACTTTTGCAGCCTGGACCGAACCAAATCAAGCTGTTCATGTCTCCCCCACACACACACTTTTATTTACTATTTCCCTTTCCCTCTCTCATTTTTCTGTCTCTCTGCATCTCTTTCTCACAGCTTTTAAAGTTGTGATTATGCAGCCGTGGCCTCCTGCTGATTTAGTTATCTTTTTCTCCCATTAGGTGTCAGGGCTGAGATTGAGGGAAACCCAATTTGGGTGCAGAAATGGGGGATTAGAGCAGGCTCTTAATCTGTGACAGACTTGTGCAGTGCCACGCTGTCGCTGTCCTGGGCTCTGGGCTCTTAGCATGACCCTGGCTCCTAATCGCCACCGCTGCCCACTGACTATCCATCCATCTGAGTTGGTCCTTTAAAATCTAATGGATTAAATTAGCTTTTTTTCTCTCTCTTTGACGACAGAGCTATAATCCCTCATGGATTTAAATGAAATATGAAATGTCACAATGCCAGGGACCCTTTTAGAGGTGTGTGTGTGTGTGTGTGTGTGTGTGTGTGTGTGTGTGTGTGTGTGTGTGTGTGTGTGTGTGTGTGTGTGTGCTCCTCCTGTGAAACACAGACGCGCAGAGAGGAAAAACACGCACACACACCGAGCAGTGGAGTGCTTTCATCTCCAGAGAGACATTCCGTCACGCAGACATCGAGTTACAACCACAGTCACGCAGACACTCCGAGACGTTGCACCCAGACATGCAAAGGTCCTCAGCAGCACGACCCAGGCTCCTGGACAGATGGACTCAGTCACTTGAGGCTGGTCTGAGAGACATGGTGATTCAGTACACTTGATAACATCTTTAACTACTTTCCTGTTCATTCCTTCTCCCCTCTGTTCTCGTGTAGACTTTCTACCTAGCTTACCGTACACATTCTCAGTCTGTGACCATGCTATTTTACTCTTTCGGGGGCTGGTGTGTTTGATATTTGGGCTTCACTGATTTCTATGAGACCTGGTCTACAGTCACTCTATTTTAACAGCCAGCCAAGCCTGTGTCCTGTCATCTGCTCTCATTGTACTTTTGATGGCATGGACAGAGAGCAGAGCACTAGAAGTGCTGCTCCGGTCCTCTTAGAAAACAAACCTGCCCTCTGCTAGGTCCACGGGGATAGCTGATGAGAATGGGCCTTGCACAGACGGTTCTTCTCTCTCAGAAAAAAAGTGTTTTTCTGCTGTCCAAAGATCCACTTTACATTTTCTCAGAGCTTTACTTTGTTTCTACTGTGTTAGTTAATTTTTTCTATAAGACATTTTATTTCTGGTGTAAGTATATTTACTGATTTATACAAATATGACAAATTTGTATTAAAAGGAGATGCAAAAAAAATCAATAAAATCTATGTGAATCTATAGTAGAATGTACAGGTGTTTGGATCTGCTATTATATATATTTGTGTTTTTCTCTCTCTTTGTCATTTTTCTGTATCATTAGCCTTTTCTCATCTGACGTCCTCAGTTCTGCTTTATTCTCCCTCTCCCTGTCTCCCTCTCCTGTCTCCCTCTCCCTGTCTCCCTCTCCCTGTCTCCCTCTCCTGTCTCCCTCTCCCTGTCTCCCTCTCCTGTCTCCCTCTCCCTGTCTCCCTCTCCTGTCTCCCTCTCTCTCTCTCTCCCATCCCTCTCTAACACCCCTCTGTCCCCCTGTCTCTTGCCCTCCCGCCCCCCTGTCTCTGAGAGTCAGATGCCCACCCCAAATCAGCAAGCTGCTGAAGGATTGTAGGCACCCATGGAATCGTCATGACCACGGATGCAGGCAGGGAGCCACGGCAACGCTGGAATGTGGGGCGTCTGAGGAGATAAGAGCTGTGAGCCCAGCCAGGGAGAGAGGGAGTGGGGAGGGATGCATGGAGAGGGGGAAAGAGAGAAGCAATCCTGTGAATGGGAGACAGAGACGATAGAGAAATAGAATAGCGACGGAGCAGTAGAGAGAGAGAGAGAAGAGGGGGGACATGAGGGGGGCACACTGCAGATGGGAAGCCAGCCTTATTCCTCTTTGCATTTCATTTACATCCCTGGCCGTATCGACCAATCGGATTGGGAGCAAAGCCCAGGGTTTAGGAGGGGAATAAAAAGACAAAATGCCTTTGCTGCTCTCATCCCTCCCTGATAATACCCCTTCTGTTTTTCTTTTCTCTTTTTCTCCCATCTATAAGTAGATACTGTCCGAAATGCCAGCGGAAAAGCGACACCTCCGCTCTCTGTGTATCTCAGATAGACCAAACGGGAGCAGTGGCTGAAAAAACAGCTTTAGCGGCTGGGCCTATATCCTCTGCTCTCTGGCTGGATGGAGAAGGTTGGAGGGGGGTAGGGGGGCTGGTGTTTGGTAACAGAATGGATGGGGGGTGGGAGAGACATAATGTACTGAGCTGGTCACAGATTTTGCCGCATATTACACTGAAAAACGTCCTTGCAGATCAGTTTTCTAAACGGGGAAACCTGTTTCAAGGGTGTTTACTCTGCGCGACCCATTTCTGTGATCATGGCCAATGGCCGTGACTGAACTTGACATATTTTTATTTTTAGCACAGGATTGTTCTTGTTATTCATCCATACTTGCAGGTTTATCTAATGCAGCCGCTCTTGTCGGTTGGTTTTGCACCGTAGGTCTTATAGACAACAGTGTGGAGTGTCCCCATAGTCATGGCTCAGACTCCAAGGTGCCTTAGCACCAGCAGACTAGCTGGGATATCCAAGTTGTTTCCACCTTTTGTCATTAGCTGATTTTATACTATAAGCACAACACAACAAGCCAAGAGTCAAATAGGACACGTATGGGACAAAGCCTGTTCCTTTGTATTATATGTTATAGGTTATTTTCCTCTTGTGGGAATGACTCTGTTGCCATGTTGTTATGTGTGAATTGCCTTGCAGATTGAGTTTGCCATTGCCTTGATGAGTGTGTGTCTCAGTGTGTGACAGTCATTGTTTGAAACCCTGCAAGTACAGTGTGTTTGTGGGTGTACGGAGTGTCTGTTTGTACAGGTGCTAGCAGCTCTCTACATTGCCTTTATGTGCTTGTGTTGGTTTGTTTATCTCCTGTTTACGGAAAGTCTTAAATTTGTGTTCTCCGCCTTTAAGTGTCCCTGCCTGTTTTTAAATGGATTAAGTCATTGTGTTGATGAGTACTTTGTCCATGTATTTTTGTAAGAATATTAGGTTTATTGTGTTGTCACAGGACCTTGTGTTGTTGCTGCTGCTGATATAGAGCTTATTGAAAGGGCTTGTTGTTGAACAGATGAGAATACTTCACAACAGGGACCTACAGCAAAGCATGTAGACACAGGGAGGGAGGCCCTGTTACCTGCTTTCACCAGAAGCCTGGGGAAGATAAAGTCACCTCAGGACCCCCATTACTACACCTCCACAGCATTTTCCTCCTCCACCTCCTCCTCCACCTCCTCATCGTCTCTTTAATAAAGACTTCAACAATAGGGACAGATATGGGAGGGATTAGGGGTCAGGGGGTTGGGGGATTTGGCCATCTACATTTCCAGGATCAATCTTGAACCCTTGCTTATCTCTGGTGCCAGCCCCCACATACCTCCGGTGGGCTGCCTGGCCCTAGCCTGGGTGAGGCCTGGCCCTAGCCTGGCTGTGTTGCTCCTCTAGCAGGGCATGGGGGGCTAGTGGTGCCTGGCTGATAGGAGAGGATCCATGGCTTCTCTGTCCAGGCTGTGGAGGTGGGGAGGGATAAGGGCTTTACCCAGGCAGCCAGGGGCACGGAGGACCACAGGATTTGTGGACAATGGGTTCTTACGCTGTGTCTCTATAGTACACCTCCGCCCCTAAAGCTCGACTGACAGGTGTGTGGGTGTTTTGAGTCTGTTTGTGTATGTGCTTTAAATGTGTATTTTAGTATTGCTCATGTGAAATAACCTCTTTGAGTTATACTCTGCTAACTGAATTTTATCCTAAGTTCCCGTTGTTATCTTGTGTACACACATTTGTTTATTTGATACAGCCCCTCTCCACTACTGCACTTTCTTATATCAAAGACAGCAGTGCAGAGCGTAATTGAAAATGGCTACTGTGGAGAAAGGACTCTCTCCGCATTGACTACAGAGTCAGAAAAAGCCCCTTTCTCCGCTCCCTTCTTAGATCTATTTAAATAATTCAGGAGTAAACTGACAAATTAGGCACCTTTATGGACGCCCCTGGGCCTTTCAGGGGTCTCTCCGTTTCCCCCATACAAGATGGTGCCACTGGGCATGGCATAATATCTCTCTTTGCTTCGAGAGGGGCTGAAGGAGGGGGATTGGTGGGGAGCAGGCCAGAAGGGGTTTCGCCAATCAAGCAGGCCACACTTTCTCCCCCAGGTTCTAATGTTGTGCCACATTAGAGAGCTTGGCCTCCATTTAGGACACAGAGAGGCATTTTCATAATTTGCCGTGTCTCTCGGCTCACTTGGGGTGCCTCTCCTTCTCTCTCTCTTGATCTCTTCTCCCTCACTCCGTGTCAGAATGAGAGGCCTGGGGAAGAAGAGTGATTCATGCCCTTGGTTTCTGTCAGCTGACTGTGTTTCTGCATAAAGCGGCTGGTAGTAGGTGAGGACAGTAATGGTAATCTCTGTAAAACAAGCTCTGTTTAGGACTGAATTACATGTTAAAACATTGTGTTTAATGTCAGGTGTACATCAATACACGTGTGTATAATTTACAACTCACAATAATAAGTAAAACAACATGACCCTATTAGAAATCGGCTCACATTGTTTCTAAACACACAGGTTTTGACAAGTTGCTACTTTTTATTTTGCTTGACACCACCGATTCATGCACAGCACCAGCATGCGTAAGCAATTAATCATGTGATTGGTCACATAATTCACTATCTCAGGGGGGCATTTCACCGCTGACAGACAGACAAGCTCATCTAAAATCCCTCAATTTACAAATGGAAATCCCACCATCCAATTGAGCTAATAGAGGTACTTGAATGGGATAATAAGATGTGGTGTAATACTGTGTAAAAAGCCTGTAATGTTGTGTTGGTGTATGAGCCTGTGTGACTGGGTGTTTGACTGTCTGCAGTGATTACCGGGGCCTGCGGGCCTGGCGGCGTCTCCATGGCTGGGACAGGGCGCTCCTCTCTAGGCTAGAAGATATGCCTGTCTACCCCTGGTGGTGGAGCCCTCGGTACCGGTACCAGAGGTGCAGGAATGAGAGTACACCCTGTGCTCTGATTTCTCTCGGTTTCTCTCTATAACTGCTTCGCTCGCTCTCTCTGTCTCTCTCTCTCTCTCTCTCTCTCTGCTGATGCTGCAGTGCTCGCAGATGTGCACAAACAAGGGAGGATTAAAGCAAAGCGAATCTAAACAGACAAACGGAATTAGAGTGATGGGTGTCGGTGTGCTGGTTCAGAGTGATAAACATAATGATGCTGTGTGTGTGTGTTCCAGTGTCTAGGGGATTATATGTGGTTAGGTGTGTATGGCTGGGTGACCGCTTCTGGGTGTCTTTGTGTGTTTGCCTATCTGTCTATGTTTTTGTAATT